GGGCAACACAGTGAGACTCTGTCTCAAAAAAAAAAAAAAAAGAAAAAGAAAAATGAGTCAGGTGTGGTGGCATGTACCTGTCATCCCAGCTACCTGGGAGGCTGAGGCAGGAGGATCACTTGAGCCTAGGAACTTGAGGCTGCAGTGGGCTATAGCACCACTGCACTCCAGCCTGGGCAACAGAGTGTCTCTATCTTTGGGGGTGGGGGAGAGAGGCAATACTGAAAACCACAAAAATCAAGATAAAACCAATTTAAATGTAAGCTGAAAGGATCTACTTTTATCTATGGTATACAGCTGGCTCTCTGTATCAACAGGTTCTGCATTCAGATTCAATCAACTGAAGATGGTAAATACTTAAAATAATAAAAATAAAAAATAACAAAGAAGCACAATAGAAAAAATATAGTATAACAACTATTATATAGCATTTAAATTATATTAGGAGTAATCTAGAGATGATTTCAAGTACAGCCATCCCTCAGTATCCTTAAAGGACTGGCTTTCAGAACCTCTCATCCATACTAAAATCCATGGATACTCAAGTCTGTGATATAAAATGGCACAGTATTTGCATGTAACACACATATATTCTTCCATATACTTTAAATCATCTAAGGCTAACTTAAAATACCCAATAAAATGTAAATACCATGTAAACAGTTGTTACACTGTAATGTTTAGGGAATAACAACAAGAAAAAAGTCTGTACATGTTCAGTACAGATGTTATTTTTTCCCCTGAATATTTTTGATCTGTGGTTGGTTGAATCCACGGATGTAGAACCCATGGATATGGAGGGCTGACTGCATACAGGAGGATGTGCACAGGGTATGTACAAATATTCTGCCATTTTACATAAGGAACTGGAGCATCCATAGATTTTGGTATGTTTGGGGATCCGAATCCAATCCCCCGCAGATACGAAGAGAGGACTATATTTTATTTTAAATAATAAAAGCCTTATCAAAAGCCTCGTACCTTTGAGACCTTGTTATTACATAAAAATCTTTCCATTACCAATTTCATACATCAATGCCAAATCCTGCCTTCTATGGTTCACCTAATATAACAATCACCCTATTTGCTGTGTTTACTTGTTCATTTCCTTTTTCAGACAGTGAAGAACCTGGGGTTCTGAACTGTTTGTTATCTTTGCATTCTTGCTGTCTATGATAGTTTGGTGAAGGTACTGATTAAACTGAGTCCTTCTTAAATTACCTCTAGAAGGAGATTATATCGTATCTTTAGTAACAACTTAACCTAGCTATGTATATTTTCTAAAATTCTATTAATTTACAAAAGCTTACACCCAAGTGAACTAACAGACTTACCTCATAGTCATTATGATCTATCAGCCAAAACCCTTGAATAAGTTTAACCTGGCCCCAAGAAATGGCAAAAGCAGTTGGAAAAGATTCAATGGAAGAATCTGTTTTGTTTGGAAAGGAATACATAATATCAAGTAGCAAATAAATGGTCTTTAAAAAAGAGGATTAAGGATAATAAACAATTTAAAAAATCCTACATATATATTTAGTATAAGTTGCAACAGAGTGTAGCATTAAAAAAGGCTTGAAAGATTTTTTAGTGTTCAGAAAGCCATCGTGGATATCCAGTATAGTTTTATTAAATGTGGGCACAGACAGTTCCATTGTTAGGGAAATTTCCATGCATACTAGGGGAATTTCTGTGCTGATTCTGCTTAAAACCACAAAGCAGCTAAAATGGACGCTGACACCTGTCAGCCTTGCAAGCTAAAACCACAGAGCAGTTGAGCAAAGCTGAACAAAACTGCAAGCCTGTCATGATTATGATGTTTGTTATAAGCCTATCATGATTCTAATGTTTGTTATAAGCCTATCATAATTCTGCTACTTGTAAGAATTATTGTTTATTGGATAACTTTTAAGTCTTTCTGCTAATTGGTTAATCATTTATACCTGTGTGTGATTTGTTAAGAGTAACCCCCCAAAAAAAGTATAAAACCTGACAAAAACCCGAAGAGGTGCTCAGAATTTGGAGACTTGTCTCCTCTGGGCCCGCTGGCATTAAGAGATTAAACATTGACTCTCCAACTCTCTGCGTGCCGCTCGGTTATTCCCCTGGGACCAGTCACTGACACGTGCCGTAACACCATACCAACTTTATTCATTCTCAGTATTACCACCACCACAAAGAAGATGAAATAAGGCATACTTTATGAACCTAGCAGCTTAGCAAATTTAAGAAACACAACTATAAGCAAAATTCAAGTTATCCAGCAAAAGCTGGCAGCTTAAGAAACACATCATCTATCTTATAAATTATGAATGCAACCATTCATTTTTAGAATAAGAAACTAACATTAGGGCAAAAATATTATCACAAAGACTAGAGGATTCAAACAATGCCTAAGGTGATATGAAGCTAACTAATAATGCATCCATTTTCAACATGTAGGTTGACCCACTGAGAATGACCACTTGCCAGCAATATTTTAGGACAATTGTTTGCAACTTTTTTTTTTTTTTTTTTTGAGACAGAGTCTCACTCTCTTGCCTGGGCTAGAGTGCTGCGGCGTCAGCCTAGCTCACAGCAACCTCAAACTCCTGGGCTCAAGCGATCCTACTGTCTCAGCCTCCCGAGTAGCTGGGACTACAGGCATGCGCCACCATGCCCGGCTAATTTTTTCTATATATTTTTAGTTGTCCGATTCATTTCTTTCTATTTTTAGTAGAGACGGGGTCTCGCTCTTGCTCAGGCTGGTTTCGAACTCCTGAGCTCAAACAATCCACCCGCCTTGGCCTCCCAGAGTGCTAGGATTACAGGCGTGAGCCACTGCGCCAGGCACTGTTTGCAACTTTTTGAGTGTCTTGGATACATTCAAGAATCTGATAAAAGCCAAAAACCCTATCCCTATAAAAACAAAATTTTGCTTTTAGGTTAATCATACTTTATATACATATAAAATTTTATACTTTTGTATTTTAGAATATATTTTATATATAGTTTTATATAAAACATAAATATAGTTTTAGATTAATCAGAGGCCACCAGAACACAATCAACAGATCCTGGGTCAAGAACTCTTCTTTTAAAACAAACTTCAACCTTAAAATTAAGATTGGATTAGATATGTGAGATTTCTACTATTCTGAAATTTTATGATTTTGATAATATGTAAGTATTTGATGAAATTTTATTTAAAGGATACAATAGAATGCTTGCTTGCTTCAGAGATGTTGTCTAATAGGTATATGTCAAGTAGTGCCTATAAAAGGAAAAGATAAAAACTTCAATGTATTTTATATAGTCATTCATTCATTCACGTTCTTTGTTTTCCCAAGCCTGTGCTGCATGTGAAAAATACAGCTAAGCTTGTCTCCTCCCACCCCAACTTTGTAAACTCTTTCTTTAAGTGATAGCATGTTACTGCAAACCTACATGTAGACTAGGAGGAGGATATTTTCCTGTGCCTCCTTCATCCCGTTTCCACAACTTCTCAACTTGATCTCCTAACAGAGAAACCATTCCATCAATCATCAAGCAATCAGAGTTCCACTTCCCTCTGCAATAAGGGAAAAATTGAGGATTATTTAAAATTAGTGTTAATTACTATGAAAACAGCAAGCACTAGACTCTTAAAAGTAATACCCCCACCCATCAAAGACAGAAGACAGTTGAGAATTAGACCCCATTTAGCATTATGAGAACTCCAGACATTAAGGATAGTTATTCAAATAAACCCTGAAGTTGCCTCAAGTTCAGTCATCAGCAAGTCAGAAAATCAAGGTTAGGTCTCAGGGCAAAATATGGTTTAGCCAGCCAAATGCCTGAGACTATTCTATTTTTCACCACCTTCAGCAAATTACCAGAGTATGGCAGCCCAGTGTAGTATAAATACTGTAGCCCAAAGTCACAGAGATGTAACTTCTGTTTCATCACTTGGGCTAACCTCAGTGATTCCTTCATTCAAAAAAAATATTACTGAGCACCTACAATGTGATAAGCAGATATAGTTCCTGTCTATTTCCTTATTTAATATTATTAACAGCAGTCACTACTTATTGAGGTTTTCCTATGAGGCAGGCATTATTGTAGGTGCCCTGTACATACTATTTTATTTTTACACTGACTTATTTAACAAATAGGAATAGAAAGCATAACAAACCTGCCCAAAGACATACACTTAGGAAATAACAGATCAAGGATATTAAAATGTGCCTAATCAATCTCCCAAATTCATGTTCACTATCCTAGATTAGTTATCATAAAACACTGGTTTCCAAAATTTGCCACGCATTAGAATTATAGCTGGCACAGCCTTTGAAGTACTGATTCCTAGGTGATTCTCATGTAAGAAACCTGGAATCAAGGTCTGTGAATCATTGTTTTAAATGTTGTCTGCTGCTCTACAATTTTGTCATTACAACTTGAGGAAAAAGGCTATTAAACTACAGAAGTAGGGCCAAGGATCTAAATACTACTCTTTGTTCTTCTATTACTTTCCTTCTTCATTTCAAAGGAACCAACCAGGCTATTTTTTCTTTCTTTTTTTTTTTTTTTACCCCTCCCCCTATTTTTTCTTTTTAAAGAGAGAAATAAAATTAGAACAACAAAAGGAATGTGGCTGAAGTGTTGAAAAGTTACATGTAATGGAACGAACGTAAAATAACTCTAACTGGTGATATATTTATGCTTTTTTGATGAACAATAGCTTCCAGTCTTTTTTTGAATAAGAATTCTCAGAAGAAAACATGCTTAAATTACAGACTCTCCCCTAATAAATCACTCATAGTAAATAGTTTTATTTAGGAAATAATGAGTACCTACACCCAAGTTCTAAAATAAAGGTGTATTAGGTCAAGGCAAATAATACAACTAAAATAGCAATGCTAGTAACAAATTCTGATACTTTACTGAGAATTCCACCCATTTAATCATTTTGTAACATGATGAATTCTGTTCTGAGAAAGTTTGACTTCTTACAGAAACAATTTCTAAAATGTGTTTTGAAGGTTTGGATGTACTATACCTTGACAAACGCTCACACTTCTGTCGACGACTGGTGTAGTAGTTCTGAATTACAGGATAGCTGTAGCATAATCTTGACAACTGCACAGCATCATCTAGATTTTTTTTTAAGAGTAGGAAAAAAGCTAGTAATATTTCCAAAATATCTTAAGAATACTTAAGGTTACACACGTTGATATTTTACTGTAATTTTCTAATGCTATTTAATCTGCAGGCTTGCTAAATTGAAGTAACAAAAATACTACACATCCTTTTATTTACAGATGCACAAGTGAGAAAACAGTCTCTCATGAAAGTCTTTAACAACAAGGATGCTGGCTTAAAACCCTGGAAACTATTCTAAATAATTTTATTTCTTAGGCACAAATGATTTGAAAGCAAGCAATGTTCACTATCTGTTCAAATCAAAATCTATGAGAATTATGAAAAAATAAGATCAACAACAATTATGTGCAGTGGCAAAGGCAGCTCTAAATAAAATTGAACGTGCTTCCTGGAAATGTAAGAAGTTGAAGGCTTTAGAAGTGTATTCTTAACAAATATAGTAAAAGCAATATCAAGAATTCTCTAATTCTTGGTGCTGGAATTATTAGATAAAAAGGGGTATTTAATTGATGACAAATAATATTAGTTAGTAACCATATTAAAAGGACTCTTAACAAGAAAGAGATCAGCAATTTGGGTTACAAAAACCACAGTTCTATGATCCATAGATATTGTTGTGATATTGTTGAATCCACTTCAGAAACCATGTTTGCTCAAATTTGCTTTCCTTCTAAAAAAAAAAAAAAAATTGCTTTCCTTCTAAATGTTACTCAATCCAATAAACATGTATGGAACACCTAATAACAGGCATGGGGTGAAGCACTGAAGATACAAAGTAAGGAAGAACATAAAAAAAGACGGTACGCATGGAAGAAATCATAAGTGATGTGGAAGAAAAGAAACGTGAAGCATCAGAACACAACAAAAAAATTATAAAGTTCTGAGAATGTTTCAATTAATATTATAAATTAAGTAAATATTATACCTAAGCCTTCTGGTAAAAGTCCAGAATGAGAGAACCAAAGAACCACTTGTGCATATTGACAGATGAGCTGGGTAACGGTATACTTATTGCTTAAGTCCATCAGTCCTGTAAAGAGTTAACATCAATTGTTTAACCATTAATTTATTGACTACAAATGAAAAAATCAAGATTCTCAACAGTTTTCAAAAACTAATTAATTACTTAGTGACTTTTTATATTTCTTGAAAAAATTTAGCTTGTATCTATTTTATTTTGGTCCAAAATGTCAACCAAATCTCCAAAATGCTAAAATAAATCACTAACTAAAGTAGACATTTTAGGTAAATATGCTTCCATTTAGCTAAAATGCTTCCATTTTAGCTACACTTTCATTTAGCTAATTTCTAAAGTCAAATTTACACATCAATACAAACTAATATAATATCATTAATATGGGTTATTCAAACCAAGTCTTTAAATGAAATTGGCTTTTGTTTTGTTGAAGTTGTAAAACAGAAACAAAAAATTATAATGACTTCTTTGAATTAAAAACATATACACAATTTAACAATTTGAAATTCTGCTGGAAGTATACAAATCTTAAACAATCGTTAACTTTAACTCCAGAATTTCCCAAGCTTAATCATAGGCTCATGGCAAATCTAACATTCTGTAGCTTTCCATTAAAAAAAAACAAACAAAATTGGCATTTGAGATCATGTCCTCTTTACATAATAACCCATCTAGGACGTAGGAACTTTATTCCTTTCACTAAGTCAAAAGTAAAATTTAATAAAACACCCATTGCACAAAGCAAAGAACACACCTCTCTCAGTTATCTCTTGGGCCTCTGATGTAAAACAGCTTAAGACTGTATTTAGGTTGCTAAGAAGCAAATAGCACTGCTGGATAGACTGTATAGTTTGTGGATCAATGAAACGACATGAACCATCAAATAATGGTGTACCTTTCAGGAATAAAATAAAAGATTAGTTTCCACACAGCAAATCTGAAATAAATTAGAATCACAAATGCAAAATTTCTCAAATTCCATTACTCAAAAGAATTATTTTATACATTATGAGATTTACAAAGATAAGCTAAAATTGGCAAATACCCTCAATAAACCTGAAAAGTGCTTTCAATATAAAACTAGCAAGAGTCAAGAGTGAAAAATTTTTTTTTTGAGACAGAGTCTGGCTCTGTTGCCCAGGCTAGAGTGCTGTGGCGTCAGCCTAGCTCACAGCAACCTCAAACTCCTGGG